TCCCCAGTGGAACAGCAGCCAGTGACTGATATGGATTATGCTGCTTTCTAGCATATTTCCTTTGCTTTCCTAATAGTCTTGGCATTGAATCATGATGTTCTGTTTTTAATATCCTTTCCTTCCTCCAGTGCTACCTACCTCTATCCCCATGTAATTTCCATCTTGCAGGCGCCTTGCCCATCTTACACTCCCTTTGCTCGTCGTGTATCGAGGCAATCTATTGCAGGCTGGGTTCCTCTGGAGCTCGCGCTGGTTTATTTCTTAATTTCCGAGTGAGTTACCTCTCCCAGGGGCTCTGTTGCAGCCGTGAACAGTCAGGTGCATCAGGAGCTTTAAATTCCTCTCTGGTTGTGAGCCAGTTCCTGCCGGTGCTTGTCAGACCCAAGACTTCTCTGTGTAAGGGAAATGCACAAGCAAGGAAGGAGAGGACATTAAGGTGGCACAAGCTCACAGCCTGGGCTCTCCACCACCGCTGCCCTAAGGGAGAGCAAATGACAGCTGGAGTTCCTCAGGAGTTAAAGTTTTTGAATCAGAGCAGGAATTCACCAAAGAGGCACGGAGATTGACTGCCCTCTTCTATCATCCCTCTTACCTTTGCAAGGTCATTTACACCATGAAAAGCAATTGCCTTATTTTATTGCGTTATATATTTGTAATAAACTCTCTTGGTAGCAGCTAAAGTGACACTGATCTAAGCACTGAAAATTTCCTGGATCAGATCTCTCTGCTTGCTCCAGTGGGAATATTTACATCCCTCCGTACAGCTCGCTTGGCCCAGCTGCAAATGACGAGCGCCTTGTTCTTGTGCTCTTGACGTAAATCAGCTGCAAGCTGTGCCCAGCCCGTAGACTTATGCCATTGCGACAAAAACACGTGAGGATACGGTCAGAACATTAGCTTGGCAAAAAGCTCCCGAAGTTACTCCTAAAGATGGTGTAGATAAACCTACTTTGCTTTGTCGGAAAGGGGATCGGTCGTGTCAGAACAGAAGAGGCCAGGAGCAAACTGCTGAAGGGCTTCGTAAACATCGCATTATGTGCCATGGAAAGCCAGGTCTAGGCTTGTGTTTAAATTAAATATATATATATATAAAGCCTTGAGAACCATATGGGAAATTTCTATTGCATTACATCATGACTGCCCCGAAAGCAACAACAAAATTATCATAGGCTTCTGGAAGGACAGGATTGAACAGCATCTTAAGAAACAAGTGCTCCAAAATTTTATTACTGGATGGGGACAATGAGAAAGGAAAAACCTAATTCAAAATCATGACAACAGCACACCCCTGGAGAGAATGCTGAAAACACACATCCAAAAATAAACTCCAGCAAGAGAGAGAGAGAATAATAGAATTGTATCTTGATCTGGCTCTGAATGAGAACTTCTAGAAAGAAATAGGAGAGGCAGAAGATCTGTGTTATCTATCAAGTCAATTGATTGTTGTATCCAAAGCTTGGCTCAGTAATAAATGAGGATGCCACTCATCTGGGTTTCTGGTCTATTTAGAATATTTTTAGAACTCTTTACAAAAAAATATTCTGATTAATCTCTTGAATTTTCCTTTGCTCACTGAGACTTAAAGCAACATCGGATGTAATTATCCTGTGACTGGAAGGGATGTAATGAAGGCAGATACAAATCCTTGTGACAGCTTAGAGCGGCAGTGAGAATATTTATCCATCTAGGAACTAAAAGGATGAGTGCTGTGTTAGTGCCTGAGCCTTTTTCAAGCAAAAAAAAAAAAAAAAAAAAAAAAAAGGGATTTAGCTGCCAGTGTGGGCAAAGCTGTTTTTTTCTGTTTTGCAAACAGAGGAACTGAGGTGGAGTCGGAGCCCCAGAAAGATGCAATCGCAGATCTCAGTCAGGCCTGGTGTGGTACCAAGAACCCAGATCTCTGCATCCTACCTTAGGGCTTCAAACCTTCCTCCTGATCCTCAAGCAGCCCAGGAACTGGGTTTCTCAGCGTGATAAAACCAGCTTTCCAGGGGCCAAGAAGATTTTGAGGGCTGTGTTTTTTGGGATGCTGAATCTTGAGGCTGGCTCTTGCACCAAGCAGGCTGGGCGCCTGAGCAGATGCCTCCTTCCCTCTCCACGTGCACCCAGCTGTTCCTGCCATGTGTCTCCCCCTCCTGACACCCCAGTGCAGATGTCTGGACAAGGAGCTGGTGCCTGGCTGTCCCTTCAGCACATCTCCTGCAGTGCCTTGCAGCCTGAAGAAGATAAATGTTTGTTAAGCCGCACCTGCTTGCTTGAATAATTCCCCACTAAAGGAGGCCACTTACCAGTAATTCATTACCAAACCTTTATTAGCATAAACAAGGCTGTGAGAAGTAAGCGTAGATTTCCCTGTTCCTTACAGTTTATCAGTTGTGGTTTCTATTAAGATTTACCAGTACATCCTTCCCCTCTCTTGCTTTCCCACATCTCAGCTCTGCAGCATAATCTTGTCATATTGTGGACATTTATATCTGTTTTCCTGGCTTGTTTTTATGCGGTAGACTAAAGAGGAAAAAAAAAAAAAAAACAAAAAAAACAACCAACAAACCAAAACAGAGCTTTCTCATTTGGAGGAAAGCAAATGTGCAGCCTGCAGTCTGCTCAGCATCACCTGGCAAGAGGCACGCAGCTATTGCTCAGCATTTCTCCCCCAGCTCTGCAGTGCCTGTTCCTCCCTCCCAGCTGAGGGCACTGGCTGAAGGGTGAAGGTTGGACCCTTCGGTGCCACCAGGTAGCTGCAGCAGCCTCGGTGGTTATTTCCAGATAAAGCTTGTCATAGCTGGACAGACAGATAAGGTGTTCTCCCTCCCTGTAGCTGCGAGCTCTGGCCCTTTTGGTCTGCTGCATTAGAAACCTTTGAGGCTCTCTCTTTTTCCTTTGCGTGGCTGCTAGCAATTTAGAGAAAATAAAAAAAAAATGTGGTTTGCTGGTTAGAGTTTGGCAAATCTATGCTAACAAGACAAAGTAGATGTTCCCAATACCCATTTTGAGGTTCTCTTACCACAACGTGTCGATAATACATAAGGAGCAATTGGCGGTCAATGTTGATCTCCAGTAATGATTCTCTGCAGCTTGAGCCAAAAAGCCTTTGGCTTTGTAAAGTTTGCGGAATGAGCATAGGAAAAGAGAAATGATGATTATTGTCCACTCCGTTCTCTTGTCACCTCTGGTTGTGGTCTCTTTCAAAGCTGCAGGTGTTTTGTCCTTGCCTGTTATCCTCAAGACATTCCTGGAAGCTATCTCGTTTCTTTTGCAAAAGGTTTATTGGCACATCCCCTGCAGTCATTAACAGGGATATAAGCAGCATCTAAGCTTTGTCCTGGCTCACAGTTCTGGCTCACTGCAGTCATTCCTGAGATTTCCTACATGGAGGCATTCCTGCCTCCAAATCTTGTGCTGAAATCTCAGCAATGAATGGGTTTAAAGAGCTGCAATGAGCCATCCTGTGACAGGAGCTTGTAGCATCCACTGCGAAGCTGCTGTCACACCTTATACCAGCCAGGGTGTCAGGAGAATTGTCAGAAAAACTCAATCTTTGCATTTTTGTTTCTTTTTCTTTCCAGTTTCTAACTTAAACCGCTGCTAAGAATACACGATGCTACTTGCCATCTAGAGCTGAGGAGGTTCCGTACCAAAAGTGGTTTTCCATCACTTGCTGCATACTTCTGAAGCCCTCGAAGTGCAAACAACTTCTGCTCTTTCTGTATGCATTGTACTCGTTCTTTGTGGAGCACATTATGCAATGTACCTCTTAAGATTCTGCTCCCTTGTCACAGCAGAGAGTGATCTTAATAGAGGGAGATATTTTAAATGAGCGTTGCCTTAAACTTTTCATAGGGAAGGCAGCATGTGGGGAAAACAATGAAACTGTACCTAACGCCGTGATTCACTTTGATTTGATTCTTGAGCTTATAAACCAAAGAACCCATGTTTTGTAAGTAATATATGCAATAGGCCAACTTCTCAGCTGGAGTAAGCTGGCAACATGCTAGGGTCATGGGAAGGATGGGTTTTGCTGTAGCTGAGAACGTTTTCTGATGTCAAGTAGAAGTACTTCAGTTTCTAGGGAATGTGATCCCATCTGCCTAACATGGAGGAGTCAAGTGAGCTGAAAGGCACTAATTGGTTCTCCCATCAGGGGAAGATTTGTGCTTTCAGCTCTGTCCCAAGTTCAATGTCAAGCAGAGAAAAGAGCTGCAGCTCTGCAACCGATACCACGGGACAAGCAGGTGGTGCTCGTCCTGTTCTTTTCTTTAACTGAAGCTGTGCCTCAGTGAGTGCATGCTCCTCACCAGGACCAGGTGCTGCTTCAGTGTGCTTTGATTCTGGGGAGCACCAGGTCACTTTGGGGTCCCAGGTCACCAAGGGAAGCAGTCTTCTAAACCAAGAAGCATCTTGCAGAGGAGGTGCTGGAAGCCCAGAGAGCATTGGCTGCCCCCCTGCCTTCAGAGAAGGTGCACACCATGGTAAAGATGCAGTTGAGGACCCCCTGCTCTTAATTTAAAGACTGGAGAAGTTGATGAACTGTGAGTCTTTCCATGTAGTTTCTTGCTGATGGTGGGATGGGGTGGCTTTTTGCTTCAGTTGTTCCAAGTCGCTGTGCTACAAGGAAGGAGATGAACGTCCCCTGTCCTGTCCGGTCTGCCCCTGACCTTGGAGGTTTGGGAGAATTGTCTGTCCCTGACTCTCGCCTACTGCCTTAGGCCTGGGGAGTGCACAGCAGAAACGCCTCTCAGATCAGAAGGAAAGATCCAAAAAGCCATTCACCACCGTGATTACATCAGTGCATTAGCAGGAAGCTGGGGAGGGTTACACAGAGGGTCCCCTCCCGACTGCAGACCCAGAGAAGCAGGATTAGAAGGAAAAACTTGAGAGGGGAAGGAGAGGAACATTTTCCGTGGTATTTTCAGCCAAAGAGCTTGGTCTAATCCTTGTCCTCCCCTGAGGCTCTGCATGACCTTAAGCCAATCGCTTCCTCGCGCGCTAAGCAGGGTTTGATTGCGTTGATCACTTCAAGTCTCAGGATGGCAAACGCCACGCAAGAGCTAAGCACTAATACAACTTTTAATCAAACGCAGCTACAGGTGCTTTACTGCAACCTTTAGAGAAGCGGTTCCTCCTCGTGCCAGGGTCCTGTGGGAGGGAAACCTGCTGTCACCCCCTGCCAGCCCAGGGCTCAGCACCTCTTGGGGTGAGGGAAAGCAAAGCCACTGCTCTTGTGACACCTGAGGTCAGGTAATGCCTGGCACCAGGAGACTTAGCCTTAAATATATATGTATTAATCACTGGAAACCCTTTTAGTGACCTTTTGGAGAACTTGCCAGCAGTCAGGGTGCTCCTGTCCTGGTCTGCAGCAGGAGAGCAAAGGTCTCCCAGAGTGATTCTCTCGTGAATCATTCGGCTTCTTTTGCTCTGGCCCAGCACCAAACCGTGTAAAACTCCAAAATACCTGTTCACAGGGTGGGAGCAAGGAATTAAGTTTAGTGTCTGCAGAATTGTATGCAATTCTTCTCCCAAAGCCGTGCACTGCAGGGAATAGAGAAGAGTGTATGTTATGCTGACATCTTCCAAACTCACCAAGAGATACAGCGGCTGTTTTAGACTTGCTGAGACACCGTCAAGCAATTTGGCTCTGCAAATGGGCTCTCAGGCTTTAAGGGCTCAGTTGCTCGGGGTGATGTGAGCAGCATTTGTTCTCTGGAGGGATGACGAGGAGGGGAAGGTGGATTCTGTCTCCCACAGCTGGGTGCCCACCACCAACTCACAAGATCCTCGGGTTTCCTCTCTATAGAACGGAGCCATAAATTTCCTGCTGTCTTTGGAAATCCTAGGATGAAATAGGGAAGCACAAATCAATGGTTATGGGGAAGAAGGGAAGGATATAGAGCAATATAATTGATATTCTCATTTCTCAGGCAAAATGATTTAGGGCTTTGTTTTTAAAGAGCATTGAGATTTATAAACTCACAAGGCCAGGCTGTCTTCTGGTGTAAATTGTCATTGCTATTTCAGTTAACATCAGCTGTGATTCTGGGCCATGGCTGAATTTCTGTAGCTTATTAATAGGACTCTGTTGACTGTTATCATTTGGTTTAAGCAACACTTTCTGTCTCATAGTCTACATATCTCGAAAGCCATTCTTCAGCTGGGGCTGTGTTGATAAAACTGATTAGCAGAAGGGAGGGAGGAAGAAATGTGTTCAGTGGTGAAAAGGGCAGTACATCAAGCTAAAATGCTGGAGAAATGCTGAGTTCACAGAACGCACCAGGAATTATTAACCTTTGCATGAAAGCTGTGCTGCACAGTGGTAGGAAATTTGCCTAAGTTGGACTGCAGCATCTCTCTGACACCCCTTGGCATATGGGGAAAATAACCGCAGCAGCGTTGATGGAGAGCCTGATTGTTACTCTTCCTTGACATCTTCATCCAGCTACTTCAGAGCACCCCTGCCTTAATTCAGCCATGAAACAACGCTTGGCTCTCCTTGAATCTTTGCCAGGTAATGTGTTAGAGGGGAATTTCTCTGCGCAGCAGATTACAGTGGGCCTTTCCAGTATGGGCATGGATGCTTTGAGAGTCTGGAAAGAGTTTTCAGCCACACGTATGGATTCATCTGGAGGCACTGTAAGAGCATCCCAGTGTCTGTCACACACCTGTGACAGGCTAACGTGGTCAGATCAAGGTACATCTGTACCCACGTGGGGAAAATTCAGCTTTGGCGACCTCCAAAGAAACCATTTTGGGGTTAGTTGTGCCCTTCTGCCCTTTTATAAAGCAATGCGTACATCAGTTCTGGCGTGGAAACCAGAACGTGATCAGCTCTTTGGAGATGTGCACAATGAAGGGTTTGAATCCTTTTGAAATAAAATGTTTTGGCTTCGGATGCGTTCAAATGTTTTGTCTTTCCAAAAATAAATAAATAATGTCGCTTCCCTTCCTACCTCTTCCCCTGAAGCTGCATTATTTAGTAAATAAAGTAAAAATCTAGTTTGGGGAAGAAACAAATCCCTTGAAAATTAAATAACAGCTTAACAGGCAAGGTTGATTGATGTATTGTTTGACATCTAGGAGGTAGGCAGCTATCTAGATGTGGCGTGTCTGGCTAAATCGCTTTCAGTCTCTTTTCAGAACGTAGTGTTACCAAAGGTTACATGCTCGGGAAAATAAAGCATAATTGCTCTGCATCACCATCTAGAGAGCACAGTTAGAATTAAGCCTCTACATTCTTGCCAGTAAATGGTATAACATCATAATTTTGATGGGTATCCTTTCTGGTTTTAGTGCTATTTACTCTCTAAAGCAGCCCCTATTTATAATATATATTCTATTGCCACATCTGCTTTGTCCATATGGAAAAGAATTTTCCGTTTTTACTCCCCTTCCATATGGAGCTAGGAGGCGGGCTTTTGGTGAGTGTGGGCAGGTTAGAATGGGGATAAATAATAGGAAACACTCCCCGTGTCAGCCACCTTAGAAGCAAAATATTTTGGCCTGCTCCAGAGCTGGCCTTCTCCCAAAGGGAGCTGTGATCTACATCTCCGAAGCGCTTGAATATTGCCAACGACAAAGCGCGCCGCCTGAGCCGTGCGTTGTGATTCACATTGTGTCGCGCGTGGTTATGTGTTGCTACAAGAATTAATGATGAAATGATGAATGCTGAGCTTTGTTCCGTCTCTCCGGGAAAATGCCTCTATTTGGCTAGGGTGCATTGTAGGATTACTTGTTGTTACCGAGGTAAAGTCCCGTGGGCCAAGGTTTCCCTCCTGACAGCCCGCTGCTGCAAGCTGCCTGGGGTCTTCCTGTGAATAATGGCACGTTTGCGTGTTTTAATCAGCTGCAATTTTGCAAACGGTTTTTATGATTTAGCAAGTCCATTAAAACTGACATTTGTTCTGCTCTGACACTCGTGAGGAGCTCCACAGAGCATAAACACTGGAAATTACTTGTAGGGAAGAAGATATTAAAATTCCCCAGCCCTTTCGTGCGCTTGTCTGAGAATTTCTGCTACCTTGTGCGGTGCCAGCTTGGAGCCGAGCCACTTGGTGTGTGCCTGAGGTTTTTCTCTGTGTGCTGACTTGGGGCAGGGTGCTCCAGGCTGTCGTAGAGACAAAACACATGTATTTATGGTGACGTGCCTCCTGCGTGCTTTGCAGAGCTATATCTTAAGGCTGAAGCAGAGGCTAAGTTGAAGTGGATGGGGGACGTGACCCTTGGGAGCAGAAGGGTTAGTAAATGCAATGTGTCTTATTAAATGTGTGTTGTGTGAAAACAGCATATGTACCAACTGTTCCTTCCCATCGTCTCCTCTATTTATGACCTGAATTTATCCTAGTTCCACAGTAGATTCTTTGCAGGTTTTGCACAAGGCTTAAACCAAATCCCATCCATATTTCTGTTGAGTCCAGGGCAGTTTCAGAGTGAAGGTTGAGATTGGTCCCCTCCTGTTCTCCATCTAGCCCTGTTTCCCTAGAGAAAACACGTTCCTGGAGTTCAGGTCCTGTCTGTCCCTCCAGGGCTCCTCTCCAGCAAGAAGACCTGCCCCTTCATGTTTGAATATCAGCTTGGCACTAAAAACGAGTCCTCCAGAAGCCTCGTGTCTTTGATATGAAGCTAACATCAACATTTCAGCTGTGAAACACAGCCTGCAGATTGACAGCTTTCAGGAAGCAGGTTTTTTCCATCCCTGATGCAGTTCTTCTCACTCATCCTATTCAGACAGCAGTACGAAGCCCCTCTTAGAGGGAAAGAGCTCTCCAACAGCGTCTGGAAATGTATCAAATAGTCTTTTTTTTTTTTTTTTTTTTTTTTTTTTCCCAGCTGTCATTTTTTTGCACTGGTTTATTTTGTGCATTTTTTAAAAATGTTTTTGCATATCAGTTGTGGATTATTTCAAGCCATACCTTCTCTTGGCATGGAAGGCTTCTCCGAATTTACAGCTGTCACAGTGGTCCTTGCCAGGAAGGGCAAGGCTGGGGTTTAGGCAGTTGAGCTTCCACTGATTCCTCTGAAGTTCTTTCCAGCCTCGCGTTTGAGCATGCGTGGACTTTGTTTCTGATATTAGGACTAAAGGGTTGTTCTTGTTTTCCCCTCTTAAATATTTAACTGTATTTACTATAAAACCCAAACAAATAAACAAAACCCTAACTGGCAATTGTATAAAGGCTTGGTGGGCAGTACGAATATACCGATAATGGCCAAGATATAATTTCTCGTGCAGAGGGCAGTGCTAATTGTCCCTAACTCCAGCATGACCTGTGGGTAAGCCTGGGAATGAGGCTGGCATTAAGGGGTGGGCAGGATTTCTTTGGCAGGTGCGTGTCCTTCAGGAACAGATCTGTAGGTGCTAGATCTTCAGTGGGGATCTTGGTGGCATCTGTGGAAGTGGGAAGCGCTGGGAAGAGACAGATCAGCACGTAGGTGGCTGTCTGAAGTTACCAAGATACAGGCAAATGCCCAGCTGGGGGGGAATCTGGCTGGCTGGAAACAGCAACTTGGGCTTTGTGGGAGGGGGGGAGGTGATGAAAAATGATGGAACCTGTTGCGAGACGTTGAGAAGCGAGGACTTGTCTTGATTAGGGAACATGGAGCCTGCAGGCTGTGACTGGTTTAAAAATAAAAATAAAATCTAGCCTGATTTCATTTGAAATATGGTGAGGAAGGCCACAGGATCTGATCAGAGGCTGAATGTGAACCCACTCCAGAATTCCAGGGCAGCTTCTCTGTTGCTTTTCCCACCCTCTTATGGGCTTCTGCACTTCTCAGTTCCCTTCGACCATGAGCAGATGAATTACTGCTCGTCTTATCCGCTGCCAGCGAGGAAAAGCTCGTGATGTGTTCCCTACCTCGAGGGCAGTGTTACCAGAAACTTCCCCTTGCTGTTCCGATCGCTCCTGTTGCACTTCAGAGCAGCATGCAGCAGGATGTGCCTGTGATACCTGCAGCCTTCATTTGTAGTCCTAGGAGCTTTAGATAAGCATCAGGAGCTGGATCCTTGGGCTGTGCAAATTGGCTCCATTTCGCCGCCGAAGTAAGTAGAGCTATTCTCTGTTAAAATACTCGAGAAAAATCTCACTTATCTGCTCCCTAGGGCTGAATTAGGTGAGCATCACATAATCTTTAATGTCTTTCTCCTCCCTCCCCCCTAGGAAGACAAGGGAGCCCTATTATCGCCAATTTTCCTGATGGGAAGCTGGGGTCGGGCAGGCTGCGATGTGCACGCCGTGTCTCATCCCGAGGCCCCGCGAACTCTGCGCATCTCCTCTGGCCTGCCAGGCCCTGCTCCTCAGCCACGCTTAGGTGCCTAATTTCTCCGGAGGTGTTTAGAGGTTTAATCCTTTTAAAGAGGCGATTCAAAGTTGCTGGCTGAAATAATCGCATTGGGTTCTGTATCAAAGCAGGAGCTACACCTGGAAGTCAGGATTAGCAGGCTAAACACCACTCCTGCTTTCTCCTCCCCATTAGTAGAGAAATCCCCAAATCAAGTGCCCAGCCTCTTGCAGTCCCAGCTTTCCCAGCTTGGTGACTTCCAGTTATTTAGGAAGGACCTTTCCTTCTCCTTTTTGGAGCCTGAAAGCAAAAGCAGCGCAGGCTGGCAGCTAAAATTCCCCTTACAAAGGCTTCCTTGCTCCTGCTCAGCTTTAAACTGTCACCACAACGAAGCACCAGAAATGAGCAGATTGAAAAGCAAAAGCTGTGTGATGCTTGATGTCTTGTAATGTGTTAACAAGCCCCAAATTTACACTGTCAGTAAGAACCCCCAAGGAAAAGTGGAAGTAATTCCAACCAGGGGAGTGTCTCCCGTCCTGCTGCTCTGGCTTTCACTTCTAATTTTGGCAAACAAAGTAAACACGGAAAACACAGTGTTTGTGCAAATTGCTCTTAGAGAAATATGGACTTATTCTGAGCTTCTTTTGAATTTGTGTTTTAGCCTGTGATTGCACAACAAAAGGAAAAGTATTTTGAGATCAAGGCTGAAAAGGAATTGCTGTTTGCCCACAAAATAAATGGTGCGGTTATCTTCTCATCTCCGATCAGTTTTGATTTAAATTAATCTGCCACTTGAGTGTTCAAATCCCTTGGGTTGTCTAAGAAATGATGCATCGAGCTGATAACATGAGCTGTCTACGTTCTGCTCTGGAGCTGTCACTGTTCCAGTGCTGCAGACCCATGTTGGGGTGCTGGGGGGCTGTTGGCACCCCCCATGCCCATGCTGAGTGACCCAGGTAGGGTTTAGAAACAGGTCTCGTACTTAGAGCAAAATACTCATTTGTCCCCTGCACTAATCTCAGTTCTCTACTCTTTTTTAGTTTTTATTTTCTTATCATGGAAGCGTTCGTTGGGGGATTTAGAGGTTAGGAAACCGATGCACCTTATTGCCACTGCAGGAGCGCAGTGTGCGTGGAGGTGCTCTGCTTTCTGCAATCTTTGCTGCCATCGTTCCTAGAAGCAATTGAAAAGGGAGAGAAGCTGGAAGAGGTACAGAGGGGCCATCCAGTTTGCAGTGCCACAAATGAAACATTATGAAAAATGCCTGCCAACTGAGAGAATTTATCATCAGGGAGCTGTCAATCAATTGCAGAAAAGTAAGGGGGAGAGAGGAGAAGAAACAATCAAAAAAAAAAAAAAAAGCACAAGTCCTTTTATAAAGCCCTTATTTTAAGTAATGTTTGCTAAATTACTTTTTTCTCTCAAGCTCAAAGAATAAAATATTGGTTCTTTTTTTTTTCTTTTTTTTTTTTTTTTTTCTACTTTTGATTCTCAGTTCTGGAGTATGTTAACATTTTTTTTAAGGGAGGAAAGAGATGAAAGGATCAGTAGATATTGGGGATCCCAAAGCCACAACAGTCATCGTTACGCCCCACAGTCAAACACGGCTGCCCCTGAGCTAATGGACCTGCAGAGTTCAGTGGCTGGAAAGGGAGATAAATATTCAGGTCTTACCTTTAATGCAAAAGTCTGTGAACAGAGATGACATTTCCTGTGTGTTCTCTGCATGTTCAGCTCTTCCTTGTATTAATGTAAATAGAAAAAGAGCTTGGATCTGAGGGAGAGCTGACCTCACCTCCTGCCCTTCCTTATTTTTGACTGACAGGCACTGAAATTGCTTGGTTTGAATGTCAGGAGGAAGAGGTGCAATAATACCCTTTGATATTAATCATCATAGGTGCATGGGAAATAAAAAGAGGGGAGGCATCAAAGTGAAATAAAAATGCAAACTAAGCTTGCACATCTTTTGGCTTGCTAAGGTTATTAGGTCTTGCCTCTAGTGCTGTCCTGCCTGGTATCCTCATGCAAATCCAGCCTGCTTTCTGCTGCTTTCAGGCTTTGCTGCCCACACAAGAAAATTGTGTGGTGGCTTCATTCATTCACTACCGCACTGGCACTGATTTTATTTCAGTCGTGCCCTCCTCTTCCTGTGCTGGGAGGGGGAGCAGAGACACGTTGGGTTTTGTGTTTGCATTTCAGCAAGTGCTCTGCCTGTAAATCTTTACTTAAAATCAGGAAGCAAAACCTGCTTTCCAGTGGCTTTCCCCCCTCTTGCAGCACGAGAACATTCAGAACTGCAGTGTCTTTAGTAAATATCCCGTTTCTTCAATTTCCATTTGTCTGTTTTTAAACCAAAAGCAGCAGGGAAACTTCTAGGACATGTGCAGCTTGTGGACATGAGTCTCCAAGTGTATTTATTCTTTGGTTGCAGAGGTCTGCGATCCCTCCAGGGTTTTTTTTTTGTGCCGTGACTCGAGGGGCTTGGAGCAGATCTCAACAGGCAGCGATTGCAGGGCATTCATTCAAAGCAGGGCAAAGGCAATTTTCGATGGCCAGGCAAGGCCATCAGTTGGCTCCCGTTGGTAAAACCGAGGCCGTGCCATTTAATTTGCTGTGTAGGTTTAGTTGGGTATAGGGAGCTGAACAAAAGCCCAGCTAAAAAGGAAAATGAGCCTGGAACAGAAAATCCGGAGCTAACTAAGAGGCATTCAGCACCACTACAGCTATGGGCTCGCCTTTTTTTGTGACTGTTTTACAGATGTGCTAAAAGCCTAAATCAGGTGGCTCTTATGGGTTGCTGATTGCCTTTGCTGTATTCAGATTGCAGGGCACGGAATATCATCCTCAAACAAGGGTCTCATCCGGAGAGCTCCAGGCACGCTGGCAATGGGCAGGAGATGCAATCTTACCACTTCTGTATTCCGGACAAGCGGTGCCAACGCTTCAGGTCAGCTTTTCACCTCCTTCTGTTCCTTGGTGGGATTTGGGCTGAGGGTCTGGAGATATTGCTGATAAACTCGTGAAAACTGCAATGAAGTAAGAAGGTGTTTGGGAGAGAAAGTGGACAGAGGTGATTCCTATTTTGTGTTCTGACTGCGAGGCTGGGAAGGAAGGAAGGAAATCTTGAAACAAAATGTGATTGCTTTTTCAAAGCCCTGTAAAGCTTCAGCTCAGTGTAGGAGATCATGACAAGGTTAGATCGGTTCTTTTATTTAATCCAATCAAATTCATTCTGGGTCCTGATTTTCTAGCACAGCATGAAAAGTCCCTGATGACTCTGATACAAGTCTGTTATTACCTAATTGCTTTTCCATAAGGCTTTCACCTGATAATTCAGATATTGTTACAGCTGCTGAAACCTGATAATTCTTCTGCACTGCAATCTGCCTATATTTATTATTACTCGTGCTGTGGGAACAGTTTAAGGCTCAGAGAGATCAGGTCCTTGTTAATGACTACTGCTGCAGGCACCATGAGAGACATTCAGAAAAAAAAAAATCACAAAAAATCAAAATGTGTTGAGGAGGAACATCAGTGTCCCAGGAGCTGGACTCGATCGATGATCCTTGTGGGTCCTTCCACCCCAGGATGTTCTGATTCTGTGATTCTCCCACAAGGCCACTCCATCAGCAGCGTCTAAAAGAGGACCCTGCAATCCTAAAAGTGACTGGCAATATTTCATGCTAAGCACTACACAGTCGATTTGTTCGATACTATTTTATTTATTTATTTATTTTTAAAGTCTCTACCTGGGAGTCTGTCCCAGGCTTTCCCCAAGCTGGTGAGGAAAGAATTTCTCCTCGGGTTGCTCAGCAGTTAATGGCTCTCGGAGGGACGCATCCAGACTTTTGCAGCTCATTAGAGGAGTCATTAAAGGCTTTGGTAATTAAGCAGAAGGATACCGAGAATTTGATACAGCAAATTCTTCCCATACCTCTTTGTACTCAGCAAAGGTTTCTCTCTCCTTGGATCCCTGATGGTGTTTATGGGTTCTGCATAAACATATTTATCGCTGTGCCTGTGCCAGGGAAGGCTGGGAGGTTCTCTGCAAGCAGCACCTCTGCAAGAATCATGGTATTATAATAATCCATGGCTAGGGCCTCGGGGTGCAAAGCATAGCAGGAAGCATAACGTAGAGGGACAGGGTGCTGGAGCTGACAGGTCTGAGCAAGTCTTAGTTGGACCTGAGGGTTGCTCTTCAGAGTAAGGCAGCTTTGTCTTTTGACTTGTTGCAGGGACTTTGAATGTTCAAGGACAGCTTTTATTTTATTTTATTTTATTTTATTTTATTTTATTTTATTTTATTTTATTTTATTTTATTTTATTTTATTTTATTTTATTTTATTTTATTTTATTTTATTTTATTTTATTTTATTTTATTTTATTCCCCCCTTTGGACATGAAGTTGCTTACAATGCCTTACTCTCCTGAGTGATGCAAGTGACACGCTCTACTGTGACATTAGGAAAGCTTTTGGCAATGCTTCCTAAGGCTTTTTAACGTGGAAACTGAGCAAGTGGACTCTGGATAAACAGCTTGTTGGGTGACAACTGACTGTGATAACATGAAGCGGCTGTAACTTGGGAATGGGACGGTTCAGACTGAACACTGGGAAAAATATCAGTAACAGGTCTGTGTGAGATTGAAATTTGTTACCTCAAAAAGCAGAAGAATCTTAATCTCTGCAAGTTTTTGAGAGGCAAAACCAGAACTGAACTGGTCTGATTGTGATAATCCTGCCCTGAGCAATAGGTTGGGTTAGGTGCTGTCTGGAGGTCTTTTCCAACCAGCTTCATGTGACTATGAAATGCCGTAGTGGTTCCATGTAGTGGAAGTCAAAAATAAAGTATTGGTAGGTGTGAAACTCAGAATTAACCCCCCAGCCTGGCTGCCTCTGTCTGAACGACTCAGGAGGCTGCTGTCCCTGGGGGTGGGCAGGTGGAGGGACTGGCTGCCAGTCCCGCAGAAGCAGTGAAGTAAAACACCGTGCAGCCTCCCCCAGAAGGGGGGATGTACATGTAAATCTCCATCTGGATCCTAATAGAGACGATTAACTTGCTCAGCTTCAGCACAGCGGCTGACGGGCACCGTGGGTGTCTGCAGCAGGTGCGAGGAAGAGGAGAGATGGGCACTCGGGGAGCTCCTCTGCTCACGCAGTCATTATATACTCAGTTAGCAATCACAGATTCCTCTGAATCCCACGGCTGATCGGTAATTTCCACTTGCTCTTGTCGCCTGAGCAGCCAGTGTCTCTTTATTCCCGGCCCCGTGTCACTTCTCTCCGGGAGGCAGCTAATCACTGGTTTCTCTGTGAGATGGAGAGGGCTCGATCTTGCTGTGGCCTGCCGTGTGCCGAGCTTCCCCGCTGAGCTGCCCTGCTGAAAATGGGCAGGGCAAAGTGTGAATGCTCCGGGGAAGCTTTCCTACCTGTCTGACACGAGTTGGGTTCTCTGCGGGCCTGCCTTAGGCACCTGCAAAGCAGCCCTCGTCTTAAAAAACTATGAGCAGAGAAAGGATGCTGTCAGGAGAGGGGACGTTAGGGGGTCGCCTTTGTCAGTCAAGGACATTAAGCCAGGCAGAAAGGGAGCAGGTCCGTCTGAAGATGTCCACAAGGCCATGTTTTGAAGGAGTGCAGCCTGGCACATCACCAGTAAATGAATGCAAATTGCCTTGGATTCATCTACATCTTCAGACCTTGGTTAGCCTGTACCAGCTCATGTTATAGCCCACCTGACTTGGCGCTGGCTGGGCTATAGATGGGGGGTGACAGTGTTCCTGAAACAGTAAGATCCCCTAGAGGAAGGTGATTTTTTACAAGAAAGTTTTTAACCTGTGGAATTTTACAACAGAATTTATTTATTTATTATTTTTCTTGAGACGAGAGGCTTGTCTGGAGCAATCCTGAGAGGGTCATCTCGCTGTTAAGGGTGGTTTTTCCTCTCTTCCATCAACGACTCAAAGTATCCTGGCATATTAGGGAGCCCTTTGATAGCCATCTGCCCTTCCCCAGGGTTTTTATGGGAGGGAAAGGCAGTCGAGTGCTTTTTTCTTGGCTTCTTCTCCATCTCCTGGAGCGCTGCACAGGGCCTGGCAGCCAGGTGCAGCAAGAAGCAGGGGGTGAGGATGGGAAGGGGTCGTTGGGACCCCTCTGTGTGGGAGAGGAGAGCAAGCGAAGCCCTAAGCCAGGCAGGAATGGATCTGTCCTTAGGCTGGAGCCTGTCCAGAGAGCTGTATGCGTTTAGGCAAAGCTAATGTGACAGTTGCTGGTTTCTAGACAAGGACTGCTCTGGCCGGATCTAATAAGAAAAGCAATATATAGTGTGAAACCAATACAATTTCAGCCTATGAAGGAGCTACCCAAGCTATGTAGGCCTGAAGGATAAATGTATAAAGCTCCCGCAGCTGCCTACAGCGCTGTACGTGCTGTCCATGCTCCATGACAGACACAATTATTTATTGTTTGTCTTACACCAGCACCTAAAGGCTCCCGCGGGGACCTGGACCCTTGTGCAGGGAGAGTTGCTGTCATAAAAACTTTGCACATCGAACTGCTGCTGGGGAATTGAGACCTGGCACAGCTTGGCTCTCCCCCAGCAGGCTCTGATGGTGATGGCTTGAGATGTTTGAGATGCTCCTGGCTCACGTTCCCTGCAGTAGGAACGCAGAGGCTCTTGCTACAGTAATGGTCAGAAATGGGGATGGGGGGGATGTGGATCAGGGCAAAATGCTGCAAGGAGCTGCCAGCCTGAGACCTGAGGCTTAGCCAGGGAGCGGGGTTTGGGCACTGCCTGCGGGGATCCCAAGCTACAGCTGAATGCCACAGCCGTGAAAAATGGCAACAGGAGACCTTCTGTACAGCGTCAATGATTTGTGTGGGCCCTTGTATTTGCTTCAGGAAAGTCAAAGGCAAAGCTGCAAACCCCTCTCTCTGTGCTTGCGACTCTGACAGATTTCCCAAAGCAGATTTTTAATTAGCCCCTCCCTCTGCAGTGCCCTCTGTAATTGTCACCCCCAAAATTTCAGGCTTTCCCTGCTACGTAACAGAGATT